TGGAATGAAATCAAAACCAAATTCTATACCAAAATACCAAAATGGGTGTCTCCCTTGGAAGCCTTTATAAGACCAGCGTTCCTTACCCAGTATAACAAAGAATCGTATGAAAAACTATTAGATGAGACAAACTGATAAAATGATCCAGAAAATGTATAAACTATTGTTAGAGGATTATTTATCAGAAGAAGCGCAAACACATAACCTAACAGTCTGGAAAAAAGACCTAGGCCATGAGTTGCCTAAGGAATCTTGGTTAAAGATTTGGAAATCTGTAAAATACATGAGAGCAACAAATTATAGAGAAAATGTTTTCAAAATGTATCATAGATGGTACTGGTCCCCAGAAAGGTTAGCCAAATGTTACCCAAATTGCTCAAATCTTTGCTGGAAATGTAAACTAAATGTTGGCACTTTTTACCACATGTGGTGGCGCTGTAAAAAAATTCAAACTTATTGGAAAACCATACAAAAACTTATAGAGGAAATCTTGAAAGTAAAATTAGAAATGGTGCCCGACATATTTCTACTAAATGTTATGCCAGATAAGCTTTCGTTTAATGAGAAATATGTAATTGCGTATGTAATAACGGCAGCTAGAATACTCTGGGCTAAACACTGGAAACTAGATTGTGTACCCAGATCAGATGAAGTATTGAGTAAACTGTTGGAAGTAGTGGAAATAGATAAATTGAATATGTATTTACAAGGGAAAAATGATGAAGACTTTCTAGATAGATGGGCAGGATTGTACAAATGGTTGGATAAAAAGAGTGGACTCTGAAAATATATGTAATACTGTACAATGAACAGATGTATGTTAAACTTTAAATAAAACATTATAAAAAGAAAAAAGAAAAAAAAAGACTAGAGACAAGCAAATGACCCAGTTTTCCAAAAGAAGGGGAAGGCAAGGAACATAAGAACATAAGAACATAAGAGATGCCAATGTTGGATCAGGCCAAAGGCCCATCCAGTCCAACACTCTGTATCACACAGTGGCCAGAAATACCAGTGCCATCAGGAGGTCCACCAGTGGGGCCAGGACATTAGAAGCCATCCCACTGTTGACCCCCCCCCCAAGCACCAAGATGACAGAGCATCACTTGCCCCAGAGTCCCTATCTATACCTTGTGGCTAATAGCCACTGATGGACCTCTGCTCCATATGCTTATGCATATGGAGGATCTGGAAGACTAGATTATCATCCTGCCTTCAATACCATAGAAAATACAAGAACAGATTATTAATGCATCAGTCCATTTCTTGAAAATAATGCAATGGTAGGTAGAAGCCAGCTGGGATTTGTCAAGGATAAATCCTGTCCCCCTACCCTTTATCATATTTTTTGATCTGGTTACAAGCCTAATGGATCACAGGAATGCTGTGGTTTTAAATGAAAGGCATTTGACAAAGTCTCCTTATGCTGTTTTAGTTAGCCACAGGATGGAAAGAGCAGGTGGAATCACAGGTGGTAATCTAGAGGGAGGTTTCAAGTGGGGGGGCGTAGACAAAAAGAATCAAATGCAGGGGGGTATAGGGTGGGGAATATCTAGCTTAGCAGTAGTGTGTGTGGAAACAGATTTGGTGATTGTGGTCGATCACAAGTTGAATATGACTGTGATGTGGCTGCAAAGAAGACTACTGGACTGTATTTAAGAAAAGAACAGCATCCAAGTCATGAGATGTAATAGTTCCATTCTACCCTACACTAGTCAGGCCTTCTCTGGAGTACCATGGTAAGCTCTGGATGCCATATTTTAAGAATTATGTTTTCAAACAGAAGCTGAATAGCTATCTGTTGGGAATGGTCTAGATTTGGATCACCTGCATTGGGCACTGGGTTGAACGAGATGGTCACTAAGACTCCTTCCAGCTCTCAAGTGCTATGCCTCTAGGTTAGGATACGGAGGGTGCAATACCTGAGTTTGGCAATATAAGTGTTGGACATAGTGCCAAATCGTCAATGGCAAACTTCTGCAGCCCAAACAAAGTTGTGGGGAAACAGAAAGTTGGCTCCTCGGCCTCTTTGAGAACATGAGAAGCCACAGTACCTGATAGTCAAGATTTCGCAGGAGACAGCTATGCTTATGCGAACAAACTGCTAAACTTGAACTCACTAAAAATGATCATTAGGTGTCGCCATACAACACCAATTAAATGATGCCTGTGAAACCCAGGTGTGCAATCTAGAGTCTACTGGGGAGGGAGGCTGTCTCACATTAACTATGGAAGCATTTTGTGTCCGATATTGATGGATTTAGCAGCTGTTAGGATGCCATGGATGAATGGAGAATTCAAAAGCTCCTGAGATTCCTGAAAAGGGTGTTTGTGTTTGAGTGCAGAGGATGGACGGCAATTTCTAACTAGCAGCGAGGCCAGAGAGCCTAGAGTGGTGACGGTACCCTTAAATGCAAACCAACAAAATGCTATCCAAAACAGAACATGAACTGAGAAATCACAGTCTAAAGGAAGGGGTACTAGTGGGCCCGTTGGAGAAACCCAAGTACATCTCCAGGGACATGCGGGTTTCCCCCAACAGCACCTCCTGGGGCAGTTTTAGATTAAGAAAATGGCATGGGAGGAAGTCTGACAACCCTTCTCCATGTGCGTGGTGGTCCCGAAATCAAACACCCCATGTGCAGGCATTGAGGAGAACCTGCAACTCACATCTGACCCTTTCTGACACAGTGTGGAGACCACAGACCCAACCTGTGCACTCTGAAATGTGTGGCCTATGAGGCCTGGGGACCAGCTCAGATGAAGGGCTTGTGCCCCATAAGCATATTAGGGTTGTCAGCTCTTCCCTGGCAACTGGCAGGAGTTTAAGGGAAGGGGATACTGGCAAAATTGATGTTGCACCATGCAGCAATGTCACTTCCAGGTCTCTATCTGGAAGTGACATCACTGTGTTAAGTGACACCAATTTTCCCCTATTCTCTTCCCTCCACCCACCCTCTAGTGAGCACCAGCAGGAGATGGCCTGCCAATACCAGGCAGATAGTATCCCAGGGCAACTCTGATAAGCGAGAGCATAGGTATTTATGGTAGGTGTCTGCGATTAATAGTTGGGAAATGGGCTGTGTTGGAGAAGCCATTGAGATGGCATTGTGTACAAGTAGGGCAAACACATTGCCCTGTGTAAATGAGTCGCTTGTGTTACGCCAGATTGCCTCTGGTGCCTGAGGGTAACAACGGCAGATGTATCGGTGAGCAGGGATTTGTCACTTCCCACCTCTTGAATGACAGGGTTTGATCCAGCAACAAAGTATTGCTTGCTCTTGTGCATGCCTTGATGGCATGAAAAAAACCTAAGTTAGCTGCCTGTGCAAAGTCAGACTTCTTCTCCCCCCATGTACATTTCCCCCTTGCACAAGATCTAGTGCTACTCATTTCTGGGCACTATCATACATAGAGCCAGATGGCCCAGGCTAGCCCCTTCTCATCAGATCAGGTTGGCCCCGGTTAGTACTTGGGTGGGAGACCACCAAAGAAGTCCGGGGTCGCTACACAGAGTCAGGCAATGGCAAACCAACTCTGAATGTGTCTTGCCTTGAAAACCCTACATGGTCACCATAAGTTGGCTGTGTTGTTGTTGTTGTTCAGTCACACAGTCAAGTCTGACTCTTCTCGACCCCATGGTCCAGATCATGCCAGGCCTTCCTGTCTTCCTCTGTCCTCTGAAGTTTGCTCAATTTCATGTTCGTTGCATCTATGACACTGTCTAACCATCTCATCCTTTGCCGTCCCCGTCTTCTTTGACCTTCAATCTTTCCCAGCATCAGGGTCTTCTCCAGTGAGTGCTCCCTTCTCATTTGGTGGCCAAGGTATTTGAGCTTCAGTTTCATTATCTGGCCTTCCAGGGAACAGTCAGGGTTCATTTCTTTTAGGATTGACTGATTTGATCTTCTTGCAGTCCAAGGGACTCTCAAGAGTCTTCTCCAGCACCATAGTTCAAAGGAATCTATTCTTTGGCGCTCGGCCTTCCTTATAGTCCAACACTCGCAGCCATACATGACTACTGGGAATACCATCAAAAAAAGGTCATACATAGGGAAGAAAGCTCTAGGTGTCTGTTTCCCCTTGCACATCAGTTCTATGTGTAGTTCTGGAGGCCTCCCTTCAAAAAGGATGCGGACAGAAAGCAGCAGGTGCAGAGGAGAGCGACGAGGATGATCAGGGGCCTGAAGACCAAGCCGTATGATGAAAGGCTGAGGGACTTCTCAATATTCAGTCTGGAGAACAGGAGGCTAAGGGCTGTCACTTAGAGGAGGGCGGGGAGCTGTTCCTGTTGGCAGCAGAGGATAGAACTCGCAATAATGGGTTTAAATTAAGGGTGGTAAGGTACCAGCTGGATATTAGGAATTTGGTTTTTTTACAGTAAGAGTTGTGCAACAGTAGAATCAACTGCCTAAGGAGGTGGTGAGCTCCCCCTCACTGGCCGTCTTTAAGCAGCATCTGGACAAACACCTATCAGGGACACTCTAGGCTGATCCTGCACTGAGCAGGGGGTTGGACTAGATGGTCCCTGTACAGCCCCTTCCAACTCTGTGATTCTATCACTGGATTCAAGCCCATTGCATCCCCCTAGGCCTTTGCTAAGGCTTTTCAGAAATGCAGTTACTAGAGGTGGGCTCACTCTGCTTCCGAAACTGTGGCGCTGGGCACCCAAGCTCCAGCCCCGTGTGCCTTCTGTTTCCCCTTCAGGATATATGCTTCGCACCTACCAGGCAAATTGTCCTGAAGCAGGGGCCGGGATCTGCACGTTGCGGGGGCAGCTGCATTGCAGGGCCAGGGGAGGGGAGCCGGAGATTCAGACTTTGGACAGGGTTTGACCTCAGCATCAAAGTACTGAGCTATTTCCCTTGGTCGGGGTCTATAGCCCAGATAAGCCGGGGATGGTGCTGAGAAGCCCCTGATGGTGGCCGGAGCAGCTGCACGGCAAGGAAACGCAAGGCCTAAGTCTCAGCCTCTTTGCCCTTTTATTTTGTCATTTCCAGTTCTGGCTGTGACGGAGGATACGGAAGATGCCAGCACCGAGTTCACAGACAGCATCGAGGAGGAGGAGGCTGCGCACAGAGCGGCTCAGCAGCAGCAGCAGCAGCAGCAGGTGAATCCATCCAAGGGGAAAGCACCAGGGAGATCCCTTCAGAAGGGGAGCTGAATGTCATGCCGAGGACTTTCAAAGTGCCGAGTCGCGGTGTTCCCTCTAAGCCGAGTTAGTGTGAGCCAGCTCACCATTTTTTAGCCTCCGGCTCACACATTTTTGTCTCAGTTCAGGAAAGGATGGCTCCAGAGCAAACTAATTGATGCAGCAGCCAAATCGCTCGCTCACAACTTTAATGCCAGTAGCTCACAAAGTAGAATTTTTGCTCACAAGACTCCACAGCTTAGAGGGAGCACTAAGCAGTGTGTCCCACCCTGTGGGTTGGGACCCAAAATTGGGTCACGAAGTCTCTGAAAGGGGGTTGGAGGCCAGCCCTCCCTAATGGCTGCCGCCTGCTCTTTCCATTCCTCTCTTTTGTGTCTCAGAAACTAAGATCTGACCCCGGAAACACTACCTTCCATGTCATACATTAGTTGGTATTTCCCCCCACACACTGCATATACGTGTTGATCAAGCAAAACGTGTCCCAAAGGTAACTAGATGAGTTTCTTAGAATCTCAGGGGGGATTAGAGGGAGTAATGGAGAAGGAGCCGGGTGGTCAGTGGCTGGAATGCAACCTCCATAGGCAAAGGCTGTGTATGTTGGGATGCCACTTGCTTGGGGTTCATAGGGGAGGCAGCTGTGCCCTCTGTGAGATGTTTGTTGGTTTCTCAAAACCATCTGGTTGGGCACTGTAGAAAATGGAATGCCATAGTATAAACAAAACATTTACACCCAACTGTACAAAACAATGTGGACAAACAGCAGACCTAATACACTGCTGGTGGTCTTGCGTTTCAATCCAAAAATTTTGGAACCATATACTTAACAAAATAGAAGAAATGGTTTCAATAAAAATTCCCTTAAATCCAGCTGTAGTATTACTAGAATACTGGAAGGATATTCAAATGACTTCAAGACAACAAGAAGCCGTTTCTATACTTTCGACGATAGCAAAAAATCTGATAGCAACCAAATGGATACAAAAACAAGTCCCCTCTGTTCAACAGTGGCTAACAAAAATTGGGATTACTTTATTTTAAGCAAATTGTCATCTAACACCGGTAACGATTCATCTATACAATATCAGAAAAAAAATTGTACCTATTTGGTACCCAATTGTGAGCTACCTAATGGAAACAGAAATACTTCCAAAGAATCCTATGTATCACAATATGATTTTCTTTTGATGTTTGAATGTTGCATATTACTATAAGCATTTCTCTTTCTTTTTAATTGTATTTTCTGTGAAATTTTGAAAAATTGTTAATTAAAAAAATGGAATGCCAAACAAGATGGGTGTCAAGGCCATTGCTTGCCTGGGGCACCAAAAAACCTCGGGCCAGCCCCGGATGGGTTACCCATACCAGGTAAATTCGGACTTGTGGGTCATCATATCAAAAGGGTTGGGAACTGCTGCTGCAGAGGACACGGCATTTCTAGAGTCCCTGTTATGTCCTGGGAGACATGAAATCCTGGGATTGACTGAGGAAAAGCTGGGGTGCTTTGTTCCTTCTTGCTCCGCCTGAGAAGGGTGCCCAAAAGCAGGTGCCTTGCATGAATAAGAACTCCTGGCTCCCTCGGGACTAGGAGCCTCTGTCCAAGCCCTTTCCTCTGTGCCCCTACCTGCAAAGGTGAGGTAGGCTAGGCTGGGGACATTTCTGGAGATTGGGTGTGTGTGGAGCGTGGGGAGGGTGGAGTTTGGGGATGGGAGGGATCTCGGCAGAATATAATGCAATGGAGTCCACCTTCCAAAGCAGCCATTTTCTCCATAGGGACTGATGCCTGGAGTCTGGAGATCAGACGTAATTCTGGAAGATCTCCAGCAGACACCCCCCCCGGGATGCCAACCTCCAGGTGGGACCTGGGGATTCCCCAGTGTTACAGCTCATCTCCAGACCACAGAGATCAGTTCCCTTGGAGAAAATGGATGCTTTGCAGGGGGGACGTTCTGTCTTTGTACCCCACTGAGGTCCCTGCCCCCCCAGGCTCCACCCCCACACCTCCAGGAGCCTCCCAAATCTGGATCTGACAACCCTACCCCTCATCCTATGGGCCTAACAATCTTAAATCACAACAATGGGATGTAATCTCTATAGGCACACACACACACACACACTACTCACACACACAAAAATGAGAAAGTCTGTTCAAAGTTTCAGTGCTTCTTCACTTTGATAGAAAAAATCTACCACCCAGCTGCCGAATTGCGTGCAGGTTGAAATCAATACCAGGAGTGCCCCGGATTCGGAAGTCTCCTTGCTGGAGCCCTGAGCCTGTGTTGGAACAGTTACCCCTGCAGTAGTCATCCCAAGGAGGCAGCCTCCTTGTCCTTTGGGGACTGACCCTTCTTATTGTAATTGCACACTAGAACCTGAAAGAAGATGCTGCTGACATCCGGATGGGCCACTCCAGCTGTCCGACGCCAGCCTCTTCAGCACTGGAGAGGAGCCTGCAGGAGGAGCTGCTCCGCGCAAGATCTGAGACTCAGCAGGTTTTGGAGCAGAAGAAGAAGCTGGAAGAAGAGCTGCAGGATCTGAAGAGGCAGATTGAGGACTCTGGGTTCTCCTCTGTGTCTCACTTCAGGTAATCCAGGCTGGCCTGCGAGAAGATTCTGCTGGAACAAGTGGTTTCTGTGGGTTCAGTAAGGGCCACACCCAGAAGGCTGCTTCCTACAGATCTGTTCCTCTAAGCACAGTGCTTTCCCCCACTGCAAGTTCCAAGGTGATGGAAGAAGGCCTTCCACTAACAGAGGAGGCCCTTGCATTGGTAGAATATTTCCCACACCCGAGCAAAGTGCTGTCATAAGCAGGGGTCATTTCCTGCAGGAGCGCACAGGAGCGGAGCTCCGGCAGTAAAGAGCTCAGGGGGCGGGCAGATGCAACAAGCCCCTCCCCCTGCTCCCAGCAGCCCTCAGTCAGCGCAAGAAGCAGCCAGGTAAGTTGCAGAGGCCCCCCCGCCCCCCAGTCCAAAACAGTCCAGTGGCACCTTTAAGACCAAGTTGTATTCAGGTACAAGCTCTCCCTCCTCTACGAGGACAGATCTGCACATTCCACACACACACACACACCCAATAGCTAGCAATCCAAAACAGCCCAGTGGAGCTTGAGCGGTGGGTGTTGCCTTCCGACACACTTCCGGGGAGGTCAGGGGGTGTGGCATATGCAAATAAGTTATGCTAATGAGTTATGCTAATGAGCTCCTGCACCTCTTTTTCTACGAAATGACCCCTGGTCATAAGTACAGCAGAACCAGAGAGTAGAGATGCCATGAATTTCTCAGCAAACCTGTTCCTCAGACAAACTTATATTGTTGGGTGTTCGTGATCAGCCTGTGAGCCAATCAGGAATATGTTCAAATTACAACGTAAATAGCTGCTGAACACGAAGTTTTCCACTGCCTGTCGGTCAGAGCTGGCTCACAGCTGACCAGCTTCTTCTCCTCAGTAAAATAGCTACACAGTTCTTATCTGCACTAAAAGAGCTGTAGTGATCACAAGATGAGAAACGTTTTCACCTCAGCTAGATGCTTGGCCCTTCCTTCGGCTGTCCTTGAGGAGGAGATACAGGAAGATTCCTTTCGACCAGAGACTTTGTCAATGTGATTTGGGAGAAGTTGGAACTAATGAACATATACTTCTCAGGTGCCCATGGTACAAGTTGGTTCAAGCCCAATCTATCTTACCTTTGGTAAAGGACATGCCTGACCTGATGGACTCTGACTATGGCAATAACTTATTATCAGATGATAATCAGACCATTACCAAACCTGTAGCTAAATTCTGTGCAGCTTGTGACTGCATCCGCAAAGAAAAGATTATTTAACCTCTTCAATCTTTTAGAACATGTTTTTTTTTAATGTATTCACATTTTAACAAATTGTTTATATTGGTTATGTATGACGTTACTGATTCTGCCAGCTCAGTGCCGTAACAAATAAAGACTGATTGCTAGAGTGAAGCAGGGCTATTTTGGGGGAGGAACGCACAGGAACAGAGTTCCGGGTGGCTTCAGAGTTGGCCACGCCCACTACAGCCCAAACCTCTGCATGTGTGGCTACAGAGGGAAGGCCTAGAGAGCGACACACACACCCCGCGACTGCGAGGTGGGTGGGCCAGCGGGGCCCCTAGAAGTTTAAATTGCCATCCCTACCCTCCAAGGGCCACCTTGCCACGGGGTGCCCGGGCAAGGCACGGGGGTGTGCTCATATGCGAATGAGCTGTGCCGTCAGGGGTGTGGCCTAATATGCTAATGAGTTTTTTGCTGTTGGGTGTGGCCTATTATGCAATGAGTTCCTGCTGGCCTAATATGCCAATGAGCTGCACTGTCTGGGTGTGGTTTAATATGCTAATGAGTTTCTGTTGTTGGGTGTGGCCTATTATGCTAATGAGTTCCTGCTGTGCTTTTTCTACAAAAAAAGCCCTAGAGAAGTAAAATAAAGTTTAAAAAAGTAAAATAGCTATAGTGAAGTAAAATAGCTACAGTGAAGTTGCAAAAGGAGGAGGAGAAAGATCTTGTGCCCTCCCCCTCCAGCTGGGCAGGGACAGAAGTAACACTTTTAATGTCTGCGTTGCAAAAAGGAGAGTGGAAACAGATCATTTCTCTCCCACCCCCAAGCTGTGTGGGGTCAGATGCAATGCATCTGTTTGTCTCCTTTTCCCTGCAGCCCAAGCTAACAGCTTGGGGAAGAATGGAACAGAAGGGAAATCAACTAGGCTTCCACCCTTCCCCCAGGTTTGCTGCACCTGAACAAGTCAGGGAGGCACCAAAGTTTCCAGGATGGGCGATCAGAAGAACTGGCCTTATTTATTTATTTATATTTATTTATTCCTTCGATTTGTAGACGGCTCACCCCCTAAGGGCTCTGAGCAGTTTTACATATACAATTTATTACAATCTCTTCCTAGGGCCACACACATACAATTGAGGGGGAGTTGACTAACCTAACAGGCACCCATATCGGAGTCTTTGTTGTTATAGTCTCTTTTTGCGGGAGGTTGCCTTTCAGTTGATCAGCTGGGAGTTGGCTTCTGACTCCCCTCCCCCAGAGCAACCCCTGGCTTAGGGTTGCTAGGTCTTGGTTGGAAAATACCTGGAGACTTTGGGGGTGGATCCAGGAGAGGGTGGGGTTTAGGGAGGGGCGGGGTCTCAGCATGGTACAATACCATAAAGTCCACAGTTCAAAGCAGCCATTTTCTCAGGGTAGCTGATCTCTGCCAGCTGGGGATCTGTTGTAAAAGCGGGAGATCCCCAGGCCTCACGTGGAGGCTGGCAACTCTACCCTGGCTACATAGCAAGATTTCCCCAGCAGGAGATAGGAAGCCTGCTCCCAGCTGATCCCTCATCAGCTGGGAGTCAGCTTCTGACGGCTACAAGTAGCCTGTTCCTCCAAACACACACAAATGGGTTGTAAACAGCCAAGCCACCTGTTGATTAAATGACTGCCTAATCCCCACTGGCAAACAGGAAGTGAGCCAAACTGGCAGATGTTTGGTCGTCTCTGTTGTAAACCCACAGCATTTCCGGAATCATAAGTAAGATTTTTCCTTTATGGGTTGAAAACCATCAGTGTTTGATAGCAATAGGCTTGCCAAGTCCCCCCGGGGTGCGGGGAAACCCTCGCCCCAGAGGCTCGTTCCCCACCGCCGGCGGGTTGGGCCCCGGGGGGAACTCCCCCCCGACGTGCCCGTCGCCCGGAAGTGACGCGGGCACGTCAGGCATGCTGGGGGCGGGGCCACGGTCATTCGAGGGAAAACTCTATGGTTTTCCCTTGGATGGTCGTGGCCCCGCCCCCAGCGTGCCCGGCGTGCCCAGCGTGCCCATGTCACTGCGGCTAAATTCACACTTGGCAACCCTAGATAGCAATGTATGCCAGTCTCTAGTGGGAGCCTCCTACCAAGTCAGCTAGAAGTTCTTCTCTTGCCATACAGGCCTTGAGTTTCAATGTTTCGGTTGCCAGTAATATGTTTGGGTCAACTTTTTCATTCCCTTCCCCAGCCCCTTTTCAGGACAGCACGAGTGTGCTCTTTCCTGGTGCTGAACGTTCTTTGTGCGAACCAGCCAAACTGAACAGGGCATCCTGCGACAACTAAATGGAAGCAGGTCGTAATTAGCCAGTGACTCTCAAAGCCCCTAGATCAGGTTGTAATTTTAAGCTGGGGTTCCAGCATAACAAATCCATTAAATAGAGGATTCATTCCCAAAAGATGCTTTGGGTCCATCCATAGAGAATAGCATTAAGACTAGGCACAGAGTGTGAAAAATTTTGTTGGCCAGGAGTAAATGCGTAAAACAGAGAGCAGCCCATCGTGTGTCTGTACAGAACGGCCATGCCTATACTCCTAAATAATGATATTTCAAGAATAAAGAAATCTGCTCTCTAAAGTGAAAGAGGGTTCATAGAATCATAGAATCACAGAGTTGGAAGGGGCGATACAGGCCACCTAGTCCAACCCCCTGCTCAATGCGGGATCAGCCTAGAGCATCCCTGACAAGTGTTTGTCCAGCCGCTGCTTCAAGACTGCCAGTGTGGGGGAGCTCACCACCTCCCTGGGCAGCTGATTCCACTGTTGCACAACTCTTAACTGTGAAAAAGTTTTCCGTAATATCCAGCTGGTACCTTCCTGCCCTTAATTTAAACCCATTGTTGCGAATCCTATCCTCTGCTACCAACAGGAACAGCTCTCTGCCCTCTTCTAGGTGACAGGCCTTCAAATACTTCAAGAGAGCAATCATGTCCCCCCTCCAACCTCGTCTTCTCCAGACTAAACATTCCCAAGTCCCTCAGCCTTTCGTCACAGGGCTTGGTCTCCAGGCCCCCGATCATCCTCGTCACTCTCCTCTGCACCCACTCCATTCTGTCCACATCCTTTTTGAAGTGAGGCCTCCAGACTCCACACAATACTCCAGGTGCAGTCTGACCAATACAGTGTACAATGGGACTATCAAGGGTTGCCGAGTCCTTACCCTCTGTATACTGGGGGAGTCCAGTGCTGGTCTGGGAGTGCGCGCACGCGAAGTGTGCACGCGCCGCAACCACGTCACCCAAAAGTGACGCAACCATGTCGGGCTTGCTGGGGCGGGGCCACAATCATCCGAGGGAAAACCATAGAGTTTTCCCTCGGATGACCGTGGCCCCGCCCCCAATACGCCCGATACGCCCAATACGCCCGACTGCGTCATTTCCGGGTGACGTGCTGACGCCAGGCACGTCGTGTGCTTTGGGGGTGGGGTTCCCCTGGGGCCTGATCTGCCGGTGGCGGGTAACAGGCCTCTCAGGCAGGGGTTTCCCCGCCCCCCGGGGGGACTTGGCAAGCCTAGGACTATCACATCTTGTGATCTGGATGTTATGCCTCTGTTGATATACCCCAAGAATGTATTAGCCTTTTTTGTCACTGTATCACACTGGCTGCTCATATTTAACTTGCGGTCCACCCATACCCCAAGATCTGGTTCACACACACACTGCTATCCAGAAGTGTTTCCCCCATCCAGTATGCGTGTTCCTCATTTTTGTTACCCAGATGTAGAACTCGGCGCTTATCCTTGTTCAATTGCATCTTGTTCACATCTGCCCATTTTTGCATTATGCCAATAAAGGTTGATTGATTGACTGATTGCCCACTTTCCCAGTGTGTTCTGATCACGTTGAATTCTTTCGCTATCTTATGGTGTGTTTGCTGCTCCTCCCAATTTGGTTATCAACAACGTGCAGAAAAAAAATGTCCTCTCCCTTTAATTAGAGGCTTAATTAGAGCCTGTTTACCAGGTGATGTTATTTGCCTCCATGCCATGAAACATCACCAGCCAATTTCTACATTAATATTAAGGTCATTTTTTTTCCCTCTCCAAGTCCATTTTGTTTTTGCTTTTTTAATACTTCCATGAGAACGGCATCGTATTCTTCAGTGGTGCTGTTTTGTTTTTGGGTTTCTTGCTGCCACGTTGCAGCCGACTTTTGGCAACTGTGTAGGGTTTTCAAGGCAAAAGACATTCAGAGATGGGTTTGCCATGACCTGCCTCTGTGTCGTGCCCCTGGACTTCCTTGGTGGTCTCCCATCTGAATACCAACCTGGGCTGACCCTGCTTAGCTTCCGAGATCTGGGGAGATTGGGCTAGCCTGTGTCATCCAAGTTCCTTAGGGATTTATTTATTTATTAAATTAGATTTTTAAACCACCCTCCCCCGCCAGGTAGGGCGGTGTACAACATAATACATTCATATAATCCATAATTATAATCCCATCTGAATGCCAACCTGGTCTGACCCTGCTTAGCTTCTGAGATCCGAGGAGATTGGGCTAGCCAGGTTCCGTAGAGATTTATTTATTTATTAAATTAGATTTTGAAACCACCCTCCCCCGTCACGTAGGGCTCAGGGTGGTGTACAACATAATACATTCATATAATCCACATAATACATTCAATTTATTAATCACTCAATCCTGCAGAGCTGCTGGCTCTGAGCGATTTACAGTTACACATTCACAAGGGACTAACAATGATTCATAGGGGTAAGGGAGGACAACATATATAAATCTTTAAATCGCACACGTTCGCAGCCGATGGGGATTTTGTTCAGCTGTAGACTAGACATGTTCCAGACGGCATTTTTCACTCGGCTTGGCTTGATGACGTCAGCTTTCTCCAGGACAATTCAAAAACTGTAAGAGGCACAGCAATTAACCTAAAAGATGATGCTAAAGATTTCAGTTGTGCCACTGTCTCACGGGGAGGCAGGGAGTAGAAGTGCCAGGAGGGTGTAACTGTCGCTGTCCCCAACAGAATTCCTGGCGGAACATCTCTGCCTTACAAGCACTGTAGAACTCCCATCAAGTCCCCCAGGGAATGGATGTTATTTGGCCGAGAGTTCCACCAGGTTGGAGCCAGGAAGGAAAGCATCCTGGTTCTGGTCAAGGATAGCTGGATATCCCTTGGGCCAGGAACCACCAATAGATTCTGATCTACTGAGGGCAATGCTCTTCTTGGGGTATACCGGGAGAGGTGGCCCCGAAGGTATGTGGGATCCAGACCGTTAATGGCCTTAAAGGTCAGCACCGAGACCTTGAACTTGATCTGATACTCCACTGGAAGCCAGTATAGCTCAAGCAGCACAGGATGGATATGTGCTGTATGCTTAACAAATCTAAATCCTAACTCTGAGTGTTTTTCCTCATGTTCCCTCCTAGGAAGGCTCTGCTGAGCCTGTGTTTAGAGAACGCAGAACTCAAGGAACAGATTGGAGAAGCAACGTTGTCTGAGGGATGGGAGAATGAAGATGAAAACGAGGATGAAAAGGACCCGAGGCCGGAAGCCAGGAAGCGGCAGGAAAAGCTGAGCACCACAGAGACTGTGATCGGTCTCCCCAAGGAACCTCTGGTGTCGAACAGCCAAGAAGGCGAAGTTATCTTCAAGCCCCATGTCACTGCTAGCATGGAGACCAAAGAGCTGCAGATGGCGAAGGGGCTTCTTCTGCAGAAGGGTGACCCACAGTGGCATCGCCTGCAGCCCCAATGTGTGGACGTGGGTGCAGTCCACAGCTCCACAGATACCCAGGTAATTCTTGCACTCACCCAGGGTTTATAGGGGGGACAGCTTAGATCAGCAGCTTCCCATAGTCAACCCGCCATATCCTACCCTCCGAGTAGGAGCTGGATCCCCCTACGAATATGACTTCTGATAGTATTCACCGAGGGTTGTGGGTGACTTGGAGAACTGGGTTGTCCCAGCAATGCTGCATCAGTTTCATTGTATGAATGAAAACTCCTGTTCCTGGTGTCCGAACCCATTAAGGTTGTCAACCTCCAGGTGGCACCTGGAGATCTCCTGCTATTGCAATTGATCTCTAGACAACTAAGATCAGTTCCCCTCAAGAAAATGGCTGCTTTGGAGGGTGGATTCTGGCATTATACCCAGCTGAGGTCCCTCTCTTCCCCAAACCCCACCCTCCACAGCCTTCACCCCCAAAATCTCCAGGTAGTTCCCAACTCAGAGCTGGCAACCCTAGGACTTGTGTTGGTATCTGCAGCTGCCGTTAACAGTTGGACCATGCGTATTCTGTATGCGTGCAATGACATTCCACAAGAGTGAGATTTGCTCTGTGTGTGTGAAGTGTGTGTGTGTGTGTGTGTGTGTGTGTGTGAAGTACTGTCAAGTCACATCAAACTCATGGCGACCCAGTAGTGTTTGCAAGGCAAAAGACTAGCAGAGGTGGATTGGCTATCTGGCACCTACTTCAGCATCCCAGGAATTTCTGTTTCTCTCTTTTTTAAAAAAGCAAACAACCTATTATGAACACACTCAACAACAGAATGTGTCGGAGGTATCTATGCCTGCGAATCTGTTGTTTTCGAACTGTTCGGTGTAGAAATACCCGAAAATGCAACTATGCAGAGAAGACTTTGGAAGGGCTGGCAGAGCACTGAATGCATGGATGAGGTTAGGAAATTGTGTATAGATCTTTTGTGAAGTTCTATGAGCAGGCCAATCAGATTACTGAAGCGGTTTTTGAAAGGTTGTAGGCGGCAGCATTTAGGCAGGGGCTGGGAAGAAAAGGTTCTGAAGAGCATTGGTGGTTTTAACAGTGCAATCCATGTTGCTCCAGTCTAAGCCCCTAATAACAGCATGGGGATTACACTCTCAGGCACTGTGGGTAGTTATGATGCAATGATTGTCACAGCAAAGGTTAACGATTGATTCCTGGTCAGGGGTCATTTCCTGCAGGAGTGCACAGGAGCGGAGCTCCGGCAGTAAAGAGCCCAAGGGTTGGGCACATGCAACAAGCCCCACCCCCTGCTCCCAGCAGCCCTCAGTCAGAGTAAGAAACAGCCAGGTAAGCTGCAGAGTTCCCCCCAGCCCCCCAGTCCAAAACAGTCCAGTGGCACCTTTAAGACCAAGTCTTATTCAGGTACAAGCTCTCCCTCCTCTGCGAGGACAGATCTGCCTGTTCTCCCCCCTCCCCCAATAGCTAGCATCCAAAACAGTCCAGTGGAGCCTGAGCGGTGGGTGTTGCCTTCTGACACACTTCCGGTGATGTCAGGGGGTGTGGCATATGCAAATAAGTTATGCTAATGCGCTCCTGCACCTCTTTTTACACGAAATGACCCCTGCCCGAGATACAAAATGTTGCTCTACAAAATCAACACACAGAGAATAACAAGATAAGGAAAGAGAGAGAGAGAAGGGAGTAGGGCAGTATATTTGATGACCTGTGTTTCCAAGGCAATGTCCAGATCATGTCTGGCCAAATACTGGCCATGGACATGCTTCTGTCTGTGGCCGCACGTCACAACTCTGGCTTCTTCATCCCAGGTCCACACCTTATCAAGAGGTTTTTGGCAGCATTTTATGGAACCAGCTCAGCAGCTCCGGTCAGAGCTGACTCGGTGCAGGCAACAGTGCCGCGACCTTCAAGACAAACTCTTGGTGTCGGAGACGGCCGTCCAGGCTCGGATGGCGCAGCTGGAACACTACCAGGCCCTGCTCAGTGAGTACTGCCACACCCAAAGCTACGGGTATCAAAGGCCTTTGCCATCTGTTAATGATCGTGATGTCGTAGGAGGTTAGATCAAAGGGATTTCAAAGCCCAAAGCTGTGAGCATCGTGTTCCTAAGCTTGATATTGTATTGCTGCCCTGATTCCCTAAGTAATACCCAGTTTCATTACATGCAGGATTACAAAATGTTAATAAGCACCTCACTGCATGCCAGTAATGAATGTATTCAACATATAAAACTCGTGCCATCTAAAAGAGAGTCCAAATGACATCGTTTTGGGACCATGAGGAATGATATGTTGTTGTTGTTGTTGTTGTTGTTATTTGGTTATTTATAGTCTATCTTTGAGACTCAAGGTGGATTACATAGTGCAAGTCAAGCACAATCAACAGGATGGGACATAGGTTTGGGACTACAGATCTCTCAAACAGATCTGAAACAAAACATGAGCTATTTAAGATGATATGCGGACATCTCTGAAGACACAATACGCAGATATCATTGAAGGCGTCTCCGTAGTAAGAAAACTGTGGTCTTTAGATGCTGTCTCTGATAGGCTTGGGCCACTTCCTGGATTTAACAGCTTGGCAATATTTGGAGCTAGATATTAAAATGATGGCAGGATGTCGTCAGAAAACATGTGTGAAGGATTACCAAGCACCATACCCGTTTTGATAAGACACCAGTGGATCGAAAGCTGATGGCAAAGGAATGAGGACAATATACACACCTTCAAGAAATAAACAAGATGTTCCGAAAGCCAGTCATTGGTTGCTTGGGAGAAGTGGGCTACTGAGATACATAACTTGGATCGATTCTGACCTTCCAAGCTTGGCCTCTTTGGCTTGTTTCCTCTTGCCATCCAAGGCTGTGTATGAAAGGGACTGGGCAGATCACGGTAGCGATGGGGGGGGGATTATCTCTGTATTGCTCCACCACCCCTCCCACAGTGGTGGCTGGAGATTACAATTGATCTCCAGGCAACAGAGATCAGTCCACCTGGAGAAAATGGCTGCTTTGAATGGTGTACTCTATGGCATTCTACCCCACTGAAGCCTCCCCAAACCACACCCTCCTCAGGCTCCACCCCTAAAATCACCAGCTATTTCCCAACCTGGAGGTGGCAACCCTATTCCACAGGGAGGCATTCCACCAGGCGGCCCTGGCAGACAGAGGTACGGAGCATGTTGGCTTGGCCTGGCTGGAATAGTAATTCTGAGGTGGAGAACGGCAGTTGGTGAAGGGGACTTTATTAACCACCTGAACTGCAGGCTGTGGAAGGTCGGTAGTTCAGCAGTTCGAGACCCGAGTGTAAGCAAGAAATTGTAAGTAGATAAATAGGTACCACTTCGGTGGAAAGGTAACAGCATTCCGTGCACCTTGGTGTTTAGTCATGCCGGCCACATGACCACGGAAACATCTTCGGACAGCGCTGGCTCTTCGGCTTTGAAACAGAGATGAGCACCGCAACCCTAGAGTCGGATTCGACTGGCTTTCGAGCAAGGGAAACCTTTACCTTTACCTATAGGATGTTAAGGGGCCATGGTGGCTCAGTGGTTAAGACGCTGAGCCGCAGACCAGAAGGTCAGTAGCTTGGCAGTTTGAGACCCTAGTGCCGTGTGACGGAGTGAAGTCCTGTCTCTGGCCCCAGCTCCTGCCCACCTAGCACTTCGAAAGCAAGAAATTGCAAGTAGGTAACTAGGTACTTCTTTGGTGGGAAGGTAACAGCGTTCCGTATGCCTCAACATTTAGTCATGCCGGCCACATGACCACGGAGAAGTCCTCGGACAGCACTGGATCATCAGCTTGGAAACGGAGATGAGCATCGCCCCCTAGAGTTGGATTCGACTGGCTTTCGGGCAAGGGAAACCTTTATCTATAGGATTTTATTTATTTTTATTTATTTTATTTATTTGAGATTTATATCCCGCCCTTCCAAGCGGCTCAGGGCGGCTAACAAGTGGCTAGTCCCAGATAAATAGATAAACTACAATAAAACAATATTACACATACACAATATGTTAATATACTGTGAATGAAAACCAGGGTAGTGAAAGGGATAGTAGAAAATATTGGGGAGGCAATGTCCACTACCTTTTGACTGTAGTCTTCAAGCTCCAGGGTATGAATGAACTCCTGTCATTGTGCTGGACTTTTCTCCTCCGGCACTTGTGGAAGAAAACAAAAACTATTTCTTTCCTTTGCTACAGGTGAGCCTGGGGTACAGCAGGATAACAAGCAGGTTCAAGTGGATCTCCAGGACCTGGGCTATGAGACCTGTGGGAAAAGTGAAAATGAGGCTGACAGGGAAGAGGCCACAAGTCCTGGTAAGTGGACCATGTAAGGGCCCGTTCACTCATTGCAATGTTTTGGTATTCATATTCATTTTTTTTTAAGTATAGATTGACCTGGATGGCCCAGGCTAGCCTGCTCTTGACAGCTCTCAGAAGCTAAGCAGGGTTGGCCCTGGTTAGTATTTGGATGGGAGACCAGGGTTGCTATGCAGAGGCAGGCAATGGCAAACAATTCCTCTTGCTTTGAAAACCACACAGAGTCGCCATAAGTCGGCTGCAATTTGATGACACTTTACACGCACACACAGAGTTAATGTGACAAATGTGTGTTTCGCAACTACAGGACTACTTGGAGAGGAGATTAGCTGTGCCTCTATTTTTATTTATTTAGATATTTATGCCCAAGTTTTCTCCCCAAGGGGGGGAACCCCCCAAAGTAACTTACAGCCAGCGTTCCCTCTAAGCTGAGTTAGTGTGAGCTAGCTCACAGTTTTTAGCCTCCGGCTCACACATTTTTGTCTTAGCTCAGGAAGGATGGCTCCAGAGCAGACTACTTTATGCAGCAGCCAAGTTGCTCACTCACAACTTTAATGCCAGCAGCTCACAAAGTAAAATTCTTGCTCACAAGACTCCACAGCTTAGAGGGAGCATTGCTTACCGCCAGGGTTGCCAACCTCCTGGCAGGGCCTGGAGATCTCCCAGAGTTACAACTGATTTGCAGACTACAGAGATTAGTTCCCCAGGAGGAAATGGCTTCTTTGGAGGGCGGACTCTATGGTATCACACCCTGCTGGGGTCCCTTTCCTTCCTAAACCCCACCCTTCCCAAGCTCCACCCCCAGATCTCCAGTAATTTCTCTACGCAGAGTTGGCAACCCTACTTATGATATTGTTTCCCCCAGTTTTCTTTGTTCCTCACAACAACCCTGTGAGGTAGGCTAGGCTCAGAAAGAGTGACTGGCCCAGGATCAGCTGATAAGAACATAAGAACATAAGAGACGCCAATGTTGGATCAGGCCAAAGGCCCATCCAGTCCAACACTCTGTGTCATACAGTGGCCAGAAATACCAGGTGCCATCAGGAGGTCCACCAGTGGGGCCAGGAGCTTCCCTGGCAGGAGCTTCCCTGGCAGAGTAGAGATTCTAACCTTGGTCTCCCGAGCCTTAGCCTGATACTCTAGCCATTACACTACTCCGGCTGTCAACTTCCTCTCTTTGTGTTGCAAGCTACTTTTGGGGATCAAGATGTCAGTTTAATTAAGCATAAAACATATATATGTGTGTGTTTTTCTTGGTTGTCCCTAGAATGTGAAGAGGACGATGTCTTCAATGAGAACCCAGAGTCTTGGAAGAAGTTACTGGGCTCCCCTCCAAACAAACTAGCAAAGCAGGAAGCCTTCCTAGGATGCAGCCAATACGACGGCAGTTCTGCCCTCTCCCAGCATACCCAGGGCCTCAAGGCTCAGCTGCAGAGCTCCAGCCGGGCTGTCCAGAACCCACTGAGCCACGGGCGCTCCATCTCCACCAGCAGTGACTATGCCTCTGGGGCTGAGCACCCTCTAAAACTGAAGCAGGACTATACCCTTGGGAGTTCCCCGTCACACAGCATGACAGATGAAGATGAAGGGTGGCATTCTGACAGCCTAGGGTCCCTGTGTCCCAAAACTCTTCAGTCCAGCAAAGACCTGGCCAGGCTTATCCAGAGAGTGTCCCTGCTCGAAGCCCACCTAGATGACACCAGGCCAGAGGAGCTTAAGCACACTACGTCCATGGGGTAGGAATGGGGGTAGGAGTTCCTGGAAGGGACAGAGATGAGGTTTGGCCTATTGGGCCTGGTGGGCATTGACAACGGGTCCTGTACGGTCCTAAACGAGTTGCAAAACATCCACCAAGGATTTCTCCTATTCTGTGTGGTTCGAAACTTGCTCCAAGAGTGTCAGCAGAAGCCCTTTCCCGGCCTGGTGAGGCATAGGAGGCGGGTCTCCTGATGGGCTCGTTGAGCAAAAGCCAAACCTCTTTGGAGCAATTCTGTCTTCTGGATTGTTGTAAACAGAGTTGGCACCAGCATTCTAAATCCCAGCTCTTTCCACATGATTTCGAACAAAAAGTCTAGGGGTGTGCAAAAAAATAAATAAAAAAAATCGGCTCGATTTGGATTCAGCCAAATCGGGCAGAATCAATTTCGGCAGGCAGAAAGACTCTCGCATATCAATTTCGGCAGTAGGAGCCCATTTGGGAGTCTTTCAGCCAGCCGAATGTCAATTTCGGCCCCATTATATCCTATTGGCCATTGAAGTCAATGGCAAAAAACATAGGGTATATTATGGGGGCTGGAGGGGAGGGGGTTTGAGGTAGAGGCTCCAAACTCGCAGGGTACCTGCTGGACCCTATTCCCAAGATACCTACCATGTTCCAAGAATATTGGACATGGGAATCCAATTCTATGGGCCCCCAAACAGGTTGCCCCATCCCCTCCATTGTTCTCTATAGTGGACCATAGAGAACCATGGAGGGGATGGGGGCAACCTATTTGGTGGCACATAGAATTGGACCCACTGGTCCAATGTTCTTGAATATTGGTGGGCATCTTGGGGAGAGGCTCCCGCAGCTACCCTGTGAGTTTGGAGCCTATTCCTCACAAGAATATACCCTATGTTTTCGCCATTGACTTCAATGGCCCATAGGATACAATGCAGCTGAATTGCCACCGAAATTCGGCAGCAATTCGGTAGCAAGCCGATTCAGATCAGAGAATCTGAATCGGCCCGCAGCAGCCCGAAGGGGGCCTGAATGGGCCATTTTCGGGGGTGAATTCGGTTCAGACGAACCGAATGCACATCCCTACAAAAGACCACACCATCTGAAATACCAAGTGGTATTTTAAGATTTCCTGGGATTGCAACAGATCTTCAGGCAAAGTGGCCATCTTCTCCAAGCGAAGAGAACTTCAGGCAATGGAGAAGATGGCCACTTTGGAAGGTGGATTCTGTGGAATTTTACCCCATTGAAGTCCCTCCTGTCCCCAAACCCCACCCTCCTCAGGCTCCATCTCCCCAAATCTCTGTGTATTTCCCAACTCCAAGCTGGCAACCCTATGAAGTACACAGATAACAAGTCATATAAAGTGTGGATTGGGCCCAAGTTGCCCTTTTCTCTGTTAAGGATGGCCAAGCTCACTCAACTGCCTGTGGGAAGAATGCCCTTTTCTCTGCTGATTGCATGTAAGTCTGTTTCCAACATGGAGGTTTCACTCCAATTTGGCGTGGATTGTTGACGGAGCATCCACACGACATCATCCCCTAATCACCCAGACTTCTCCTGCTTTGGAGGGGCTGTGGCTAAGTGGAAGAGTCTCTGCTTGGCCTGCAGAGGGTCCCAGGCTCAATCCCTGACATTTCCAGTTAAAAGGATCAGAAGGTGATGTGGAAGACCTCTCTGCCTGACACCCTGGAGAGCTGCTGCCGGTCTGCGTAGACAATACTGCCTGTAATGGACCGATGGTCTGATTCAATACAAAGGAGCTTCATGGGTGTCCCTTTGCTCCAATCTTTCCCAAAACTGGTTTGATAACTCTTGGGGGGGGGCAGTGCCGGATTTACGCATAAGCTAAATAAGCTACAGCTTAGGGCCTCGCAATCTGCTGAGGCCTCGAATTAAAACACAATATAAAAAATGATTTCAAATATTAAAAAGGCGTATATATTTTAAATTTTTCTGAGACCAGCTGATGTAATTTAAAACAGTAGGGGGCCTCTGGGTTTTGTATAGCTTAGGGCCTCAGCAAGACTAAATCCGGCCCTGGGGGGGGGGGAACATTGTCGTCAAAAAGCATTTTCATGCTGTGTGGATGGGAAAGTGCGCATTTTTAAGGTCCCACAGACAATGGTGACCTTTTCTTTGCCTCAGTCCCCTGCTGCTGCCATTTTCCCCATTAGCCACAAGACTTTTTAAAAAAATCAGTAACTGCTATATTGTTATTGCAATGATCAATTGTAAAGAAAAAGCCTGCAGTGAAATGGGGTGCATGGTGGCCATGGGTGGGGGGGAGCAAGGTCAAGGAAAGTGTTTGGAAAATTGCTGTGTGGATGCTCTTTGAAGGTCCCGGTATTCACAGCTGCAATGAGAGGTGCACTGGGAATCATTGCTGTGCAAATGCAGCATGTGGCAGTGTCCCCCAACCTGTGGGTCAGAGGACCCAAAATCGGCCACAAGCAATGTTCCCTCTAAGCTGTGGAGTCTTCTGAGCAAGAATTCTGCTTTGTGAGCTACCGGCATTAAAGTTGTGAGTGAGTGATTTGGCTGCTGTATAAATTAGTTTGCTCTGGAGCCCTCCTTCCTGAGCTAAGACAAAAATGTGTGCACCGGAGGCTAAAAAATGGTGAGCTAGCTCGCACTAACTCAGCTTAGAGGGAACACTGGTCACAAGGCCTCTGAAAGTGGGTCACAGGCCAGCCCTCCCTAATGGCCGCTCCTGCCCTTTGCATCTGTCCTTTCTCACTTCATCCTCCTTGTCAACATCTCACATTCTCACCTTCCACTTCCCTTTGCAATAAGGAGCTGGATAAATCTGTCCAGCAACTAGGGTCGAATCTGCATTTGCTTTTTAAAATCAGTTTCATGCTGCTGTGACGCCGTCTTTCTCCGTGCTTGTTTGAATGTTGTTTGGAGAAGATTCTTTTAAAGCAGTGCGGAGGTGCGATGACAGTGGAGCTGCCCCGAAAGGACGATAAACATATGTGGACGTGCAAAAGTATGCTAGGACTCTTGAGGTGTGAAAACGACACCAAATGTAGACAGCTTTTTTGAAGACGGAGTCAAAAGGCTGGGACACCGGTGGGAAAGACAAATGCAGATTCAGCCTAGTATCTTTTCAGTAGTAGCTGGAAGGAGAGGAAAATGGAATGCCACTTGCTTGGGGGCTGCTGCACCCTTTGTGTGATGTTTGTCAGTTTCTCAACAACAGCTGGTTGTCCACTGTAGAAAACGCAGCACTGGACTGGATGGACAACGTCATATTTAGCCTTGGGTGCCAAAAAACCTTAGGCTGACCCTGCATGGGTCACGATACCAAGTAAATTTGTACTTGTGGGCCACCATACCCAATAGGGTTGCCAGGTTGTTTTTGTCTGCTGGTGGGTGGTGGCGGTGGGAGGGAGCTTCCTGGGAGGGGAGGAGGGATGATGTCACCACGTGTGACATCCCTGGTGTGATGACATCATGCAGAAGTGATGTCATCATGCAGGGGACATCATACGACAACACTCTGGTATTTTGGGCAAAACTCTATGGTTACCATAGAGTTCCCCCCCCCAAATACCAGAGTGTCACTTGGTCAGGGTGGGGCTTCCCCCACTGGCCAGCTGGCTAGGGGTGGGTTGGAGCCCCTCAAATCAGGGGATCCCCCATTCCCACCTAGGGACTGGCAACCTTAGTTCCAAAAAGGTTGGGGACCTACTGTTCTATGGGACATCTCTGGGTCTATTCCTCTGTGTGCTGCAGAGACTGTGGCAAGAAAAGGCTTTGCTTTTCACCTGTTCATAGTTTTGGGAGGCTAGGCCTCTGGATAGTTAAGGCCACTTTTTCTCTCTCTTCCCCCCCCCAACCCGCCCCAGGAAATACGATTCACTGGTCCAAGCACAGGCTCGGGAACTCTCGCATCTGCGTCAGACAATCCGAGAGGGACAAGGGGTGAGCCGTATGCTGAGCCAGCACTTCAGGGATGCCATCAAGTCCTTCGAGGAGCTCCTGAGTGGCAACAGCATTGATTATTTCCTGGGTCAGAGCTTCCGTGAGCAGCTGGCACAAGGGAACCAGTTGGCGGGGCGACTGGCCCGGAAACTGAGCAGTAGTGAGTTCACTGGGAGCTTACAAAATTTAAGTGGGGAGAGTTTTGTGGGTGGGGTGGGGTTCTGAGCCTTGGAAATCTGTGTGACCATGAAGCTTATGCATACCCTTTCATAGATGGATTATTATGCTTCCCGCCTCCCCTCCAACAACCTTAATGATTTGGAGTTGGGAGTAAGCAGTGAAGTAGCTAAGTTTGCAGATGACACCAATGCTTCCTCTAAGCTGTGGAGTCTTGTGAGCAAAAATTCTGCTTTGTGAGCTACTGGTGTTAGTTGTGAGAGAGCAATTTGGCTACTGAATAAATTAGTTTGTGCTGGAGCCATCCTTCCTAAGCGAAGACAAAAATTGTGAGCCAGAGGCTAAAAAACTGTGAGCTAGCTCACACTAATTCAACTTAGAGGGAACACTGGATGACACTAAGAGCTCAGGGCAGTGAGAACCAGGGTTGAGGCTGGGCAAATGGGCATCTATGTGGCAAATGAGGTTTAACGTGGGCAGGGTTTTAATGTGGCAAATGAGGTTTAACGTGGGCAAGGTTTTGTTTTTTTTCCTGGGGGAACACACCGGAACAGAGTTCTGGAACCTCTTCGACAAAATTCTTTAAAAATTTTTTAAAGGTTTATGAGTTTTCAGTATACAGATTAAAAACTTCATTTCCCTCTTGAGAATTCCAGCACCTGAACATGAGCAACTGCAAAGTAATACACATTGGAGCCAAAAATCCTAACTATTAATATACATTGATGGGGTCCGAACTGGTGGTAGCTGACCAAGAGAGAGATCTTGGAGTCATGGTGGATAACTCATTGAAGATATCAACTCAGTGTGCAACAGCAATAAAAAGGAAATGCTAAGCTAGGAATTATTAGGAAGGGGATTGAAAACACAACAGCCAGTATCATAATGTCCCTGTATAAATCTATAGTATGGCCTCATTTGGAATACTGTGTACAGTTCTGGTCACCACACCTCAAAAAAGATATTATAGCATTGGAAAAGATGCAGAAAAGGGCAACTAAACTTACTTACTTACTTTCGATTTCTATACCACTCTTGACCCCGAAGGGTCTCTGAGCGGTTTACATATACTTATTAATTCCTACCTAGGGCCACAGTTTTTGTATGGGGGGAGGGACCACCTACCAGCACCCAGACGGCGCGTTCTGTTTGTTGATGTATTCGGGCGGGCTTCAGATGTTACTCCCTGGCACCCTAGGATGGGTCGACGGCTTCTTCTGGTGGGCTTCTGATGGATTCCTCCGGCGTGCGGCCGCGCACCACCGCAGCTCTGGTGGTAACTTTTTCCCCATCATAGAGAACCATGGAGGGGATGAGGGCAACCTGTTTGGGGGCCCATAGAATTGGACCCCCTGGTCCAATGTTCTTGAAACGTGCTGGGTATCTTGGGGAGAGGCTCCAGCAGCTACCCTGCAAGTTTGGAGCCTCTCCCTCAAAACCCCTCCCTTCCAGCCCCCAGAATATACCCTATGTTTTCGCCATTGACTTCAATGGCCCACAGGATATAATGGGGCTGAATTGCTGCAGAAATTCGGTGGCAATTCAGTGGCAAGCCAATTCAGATAAGAGAATCTGAATCGGCCTGCAGCAGCCCGAAAGGGGTCTTTTCTCCTCAGTCCTCTCACTCTTTGCTTCATCTGTCTGCTGCCGCTCCCAGGCGTCATTAGGCAACTCCTGAGCATCCTACTGGGCCTCTGGTGAGCTCTCCACAGCTGCACTCTCTCATGAGTTGCTCTGTCCCCATGGTCCCTCGGTCAACTCTTCAGCTGCATCTCCCTCTATGATTCCAGCAGCCTCTCCCTTGCTTCCCCCACAGACAGCCTGTAAACTCTCCAGCCGGCCTCCTCATTCCCCACAGCTCCGGCACATCACTTCCAGCCCATTCATTCTCCTCCCAAATCATGCTGTATGCCCTTGGAAGAGCACTACGCTCAGGGAAAGAACCTCCTGGTGGTTCCCGGCCTGAGAGAGGTCCAGCTGTCCTCAACCAGGGCCAGGGCTTCTTTGGCCCTGGCCTCTGCCTGGTGGAGCCCTCTGCCCGATGACATCCATGCCCTGTGGGAGTAATTACCTTTCCACGGGGCATTTAAGGCAGAGATGTTCCACCAAGCATTTGGTTGAGGACAGCGGCGGGGTGGATAGTATGACATCTGGCACTATCATATGCTTCCCCATCCCTCGTAAACCCTCCCCCAGGGAGGCTGGGGAGCTGAAATCTTTTCTCCCTCCATCTAGTATATGTATATTGTTTTTATCTGTTGATCTTCTTTTAGGTGGTTTTAATCTTGATTTTAATTTAAAGATGTTTGTATATTACTTTGTAGTAAGCTGCCATGAGCCCTACTTGTAGGGAAGGGCGGCCTAGTAAATCTAATTTAATAAATAAAATAAATATACCTCTGGCTGCTACCCTGACTTCACAGGGCAGGGCCTACTCACGTGTCGCATTCTATATTATAAACTGAGTGCTGCAATAACAAAACTGGAGAGACCTGACTTCACAGGGCAGGGCCTACTCACATGTCACATTCTATATTATAAACTGAGTGCTACAATAACAAAACTGAGTGGTACAATAACAAAACTGGAGAAATTAAGCATAGGGCCTAGAGTAGGGCTCAACAAATCCCAGGCGCCAGGTTGTTATGGTGCCTAGAAATTTCATTGCGGCATCTAGTATTTTCAGCAATGATTTCATTGTACTGTTGCTCAGTGATCCTCAGAAGCAGGCCCGTAGCCACGGTGGTGCACAAAGGGGCAGGGCCCCATCCAATCATTTGTCATGCCCCTCCAATCAGCACTCGGGGTTGTGAGATCTGTCACATTTTCTGCCAATGAAAGAAGGTGTTTCCTCCCTCCTCCCTCCCAGGCTTTGCTAATGAGGGAGAGATTCTCTTCCCGCCTCCCTCCCATGCTTTGCCAATGAGTGAGTCTCTTTCCCCTTCTCCCTCCCAAGCTTTCCCTTTGCACTTTGCTCCCTGCACAAAGTAGTTGTTCTTGCTGTACTCTGATGCACATGACACACTTCTTTTCCTGCCTTAGCTTGCCAGCTCATGCCTGTCATGGATTCCTCTGATCTGCAGCACTGTAGCACATTAAGGCAGAAACTGGGGGAGCTGTATTTTAGCCCAGGTGTCAGTTGGGTGTAGTGGTTAAGTGCGAGGACTCTAATCTGGGAGAACCGGGTTTGGTTCCCCACTCCTCCACTTGCACCTGCTGGATGACCTTGGGCAAGCCATAGTTCTGTCAGTGCTGTTCTTGGAAAAGAGCAGTTTCTGTCAGAGCTCTCTCAGCCCCACCCACCTCACAGGGTGTCTGTTGTGGGGAGGGGAAGGGAAAGGAGTCTGTAAGCCGCTCTGAGACTCTGAGTGAAGGACGGGGTATAAATCCAATCTCCTCCTCCTCCTCCCCCCAGGTGGGGAGTGTTCAAAGGTAGTTGGAAACAGAGAGGGTGGGTGGTGGCGGTAGCAGCCTCTTCTGAGACTCTGAGTGAAGGACAGAGTATGGATCCAATCTCCTACTCCTACTCCCAGGTGGGGAGTGTTCAAAGGCAGTTGGAATCAGAGAGGGTGGGTGGTGGTAGCAGCCTCTGTATTCTTCCTTTCACAAGTGGACTCGTGACCATTTCACAAGGTGTCCTGGTGCCCATGCAGCTGTTTTGGCCCTTGAAAACACTTGGGGTGGGGAAAAACAGTTCTGCACCACAAGCCCGCAGTGGATCAGGGCATCACCACATTTTAAAATCACTGTAAAATGAGCCCTGACCTGGATAGCCCAGGTAAGCCTGATCTTGTCAGATCTCAGAAGCTAAGCAGAGCCGACCCTGGCAAGTACTTGGGAGACTTCCAAGGAATATCAGGCCTGGGAGGCAGAGGCAGGCAATTATCAAGCCACCTCTCTGAAACATCCTAGCCCCACTAGGGGACTGCCAGAAGTCACCATGACTTCCAGGTATGCAAGCACGCATGCGTGCACACACACACTCACAAATACCAAACAAACAAACAAACCCAACCACTGTAAAATAGTGATAACAAATTGGCGCTGCCAACAATTTTGCCTTCTCTTCTAACTTAGGGCTTAGCGAGGGGGAGGGGGTGAGTCTCTGTATCTGTAGAGGGGAGCCTCCCCAGCTTCTCTTCCCATCTGCATGAAGCAAAAAAGCCACCCTTCCCCTGCATGCCAGGCAGCCTGTAGCTGCGAAGGAAAAGTGTTAGCGGTTAGCTTTTTGCTGTAGTGACGATGCCTACAGTTACCCTTCTATTTATTTCTAAAATACAACATGTTTGTCATAGCTTTCATAAAATCACAAAAAAAACTATAAAGAAGCTAGGATTAGGCCTTGTGGTATCAAGGGTTGCCAGGCTCCAGATGGGGCCTGGAGATCTGCTGGAATTACAACTGATCTGCAGAAGACAGTGATCAGTTCCCCTGGAGGAAATGGCTAGGTTTGGAGGGTGGCATTATACCCTGCTGTGCTCCCATCCCTCCACAAACTCTGCCCTCCCCAGGTCCTCCCCCCCAAAAAAATTATCCAGCCTACCTGGGCTGAATTCTCAAGACCCCCTAGATTTGCCAAGGTCTTCCTAGAGAATGTTTTATTTACCAAAAGTTGGTTGAGGCCAAACTTGAAACCAGGCTTCCCAGAAGCACTGTTAATAATACTGGCTGTGGAGAACAACCTAAAACCATGAAGGAAAGTAACTTTAAAATTAAAATAAGTGCGGGTGAGGCAATTTTTTCTTGGTAAGGGAATTCACATTTCCCTCATGCTTTCCTGTTCCTCTGCTACCATCAGGGCTTTTGTTCTGAGGGAATGTGCCGGAACAGAGTTCCAGAACCTCTTTGACAGAATTCCTTTTAAAATGTTTAAAAGTTCATGAGTTTCCAGTATACAGACTGAAAAATTCATTTCCCTCTTGAGAGTTCCAGCACTTCTTTTTTTAAAAAACAAAAACCCAAACAAACAAACCCTGGCTACCAGCCCCTATTAAAATGAAAGAGTTGGGGAAAGATCTTCATACTTGTGGAACTGGGCTACCCTGTGGCAGAAAGACTGAGGTAACCAACTGACTGACGTTCTCCGAATTCTATTTTCAGGGAGTGGTCTAAACACGGAGGACAAATCTGGTCACGAACTGCTTGCTCTGAGGTAACGAAAAACTATTCCTTGTTGTCATCGAAGGCTTTCACGACAGAGTTCATTAGTTGTTGTTGACTTTCCAGGCTGTATGGTTGTGGTCTTGGCGTCGTAGGACACAGACACCTTGACACAGAGAGTACTCCATCTTTCTGTGTTATACCTCTGAGGATGCCAGTCACAGCTGCTGGCAAAACGTCAGGTCCTACGATGCCAATGGCCATACAGCCTGGAAAATCTACAACAACTAATTCCTTGTTGCTGGTACCTTTTGCTGTTACTTGCTTCCATTTCAGTGCCCAGTAAAATACTCTGCTTTAGTCAGCAGCAAGTCATTGTTTGCTGTTTCTCTGGAAAAGGCTTTGATATGTCTCAGGGTGATCTCCCTCTTTAACCAGGGTTAATCAAGCCAGCAAAGTTCAGGTTCTGCTGTCTTCTGCTGATCCTCATGTAGAGGCAGGGCCTTCTGAACATCTCAGGCCAGATCAGAGCTCACCTGTTGCCTTATGAGCATGGAGTCCTTTACAACAATGGCAGTTTCTGCCCAAAATGAGTGGTCTTGAAGAAGAGTTCAAGACAAAAGTGGGATCTGTGGGGCAGTTTTTTAGCTGAGTCCAAAAGACAAGCAGAACAGCAAAGTTGCAGTGATGTGGATACTGAGAGCTGGAAGAGGAACCTATAGGTGTAGGAATCTCCAGGAGTTTCCAAGCTTTTTCTCTTCCCAGGTTGAGCAAGAAGCTCCAAGCGAAGGACCAAACCATCAAGACCCTCCAGGCTAAGCTTCAAGGACACTCGGTGACCCCTTCTCCTAACCACACCATATCTGAGCCACCCAGTTCTGGAAGCAGTACTTCCTTTCTCTCTGACGGCATGGAAGGTTGCTCTGACATGGAGGATGTTGGCGACCAGGAGGCCCCCAGAGAAAGCCAACCTTACAGACACCTAGATGCAGGTACGGCCATGGAGACCTGTACAAGCATGGTTTTCCTCTGGGCAAGATAGTCCAGTGGGAGGAATGAAGTCAAGCACAGTGAACTTCATTGTCTTATTACCTAGTGAATTATGCCTCATTACCTACTGAAGACAAGAACATCCAGCTGAAAATCTGGCAATTCCTCAGTGGTTAAAAGGGTTCCACTCACAGGCCCAAGGCGGTCATAACAAAATAAGTGAAGTCTGTCAAGTATGTTCAGGATGTCTCTTTATGGGCATGTATCCATTCTGGGGTGTGTGTGCTGAGCACCGACATTCCTTGAGGGGCACTCTATGGCAGTATGGAGGGGCAGACCCTCCACCAGGGTCACTGAAGGGCTCCATGAAGTTCTTTCTTGGAGTTTTCTTCCCCTCCTCTTGCTCATTGTGGGGTAAGGAGGAGACTTGGTGATCTTCTAAAAGATTATGCACAATGTGTCTCTGGACAGCTGTATGCCCTTACTGGAGAGGGGAAATTAAAAATGGGGGGAAGACCATGTGCTAGAGACTAAACAAACGTCTTCACACAGGGTTGTGGCTTGACTCACTGAGGAAGGCATCTATCACCCTGTGGGTCCAGCATGATCTGTCTGGTGTGGGTTTGGCACTGAAGTGGGGATGAATTCTGTGTGACTGCTGCACGACTTGTTTTGTGCAATAAGTCGGGGGGTGGAGCGAATGTTCTTCACACGCGAAGATCCTCTCTGTACGAAACCACATAGTCCATGTCCATATTTTCTTCCCCAGTTCTTACATTATTCATGTCCAGGGCTATTGTTGGGCAGGAACGCACAAGAACAGAGTTCCGGCTGGCTCCCAAGTTGGTCACGCCCATCAGGAACTCATTAGCATAATAGGCCACACCCAACAGCAGAAACTCATTAGCATCTTGGGCCACACCCCGACAGCACAGCTCCATTGAATAATACCCCCCTTTGGGCTTGGGCTCCTTGTTGAGATTTTGTCAGGAATGCAGGTATTTCTCATCTGTTTGTGTGGCTTCTTGTAGGTCTTGGGAACTATTCTGAGAAAGCTTCTGCTCCACCATCCCATCCAGCTCCTGCTGCTCCACCAGAATCAGTTCAAAAGAACTTCTCTCTTCCTGCTTCCCTGCATCCCTCACAGATTCCAGGCCAGGCTTCTGCAGGTATGGACTACCTCACCGTGGATGGAGATTTCGCCGGGGAGAAAAGGTGCCGCGGCCAGGGGATCCGTGGGATCCCGCCGCGGCGCTTCAACGTTGGCGCGGCTTTTAAAAGCCGCGCCTTAAGAGGCTTTCCCCCTGCCGTGTGGCAGGGGCCGTACTAACAGCCCAATTCCTAAGCAGAGTTGCTCCCTTTTAAGCCCGCTGAAGTCAATGGGTGGCACTGAACACAAAAATAGATGAGATATACAGTGAAAACTGAATAATCAAATAGCAGCCGCACTGTATATAATCACAATGAAGAACAAAAAATAAATGTCCCATGTTTATTATTACAATAAACAAATTGCTTATTATAAAATGAGAAAAAGCGTTTTTTCATGTACACACTTCCCTTCACAAATTTCACAAATGCTATAAGTCAGTGGTGGCGAACCTATGGCACGGGTGCCAGAGGTGGCACTCAGAGCCCTCTCTGTGGGCACGCGTGCCATCGCCCCAGCCAGGCCCAGACCATCATTAAAGTGTCGAATTCTCTCTGCCAAATAATTTTAAGTAAATGAAAGCATTTGGGATTGCTTCCCTTACTTTGTTTGGATCATCTTAAGTTAATGTATGGGTTGTTTTTTCTAAAGTAAAACCTCAGTATTCAGGTTAAATTGCCGTGTTGGCCCTTTGCGATAAATAAGTGGGTTTTGGGTCGCAGTTTGGGCACTCGGTCTCTAAAAGGTTCGCCATCACTGCTATAAGTAGTTCATTGAAGTTTTGATTTTTTTCTGTTGTAAGTATGTTTGCCACTGGGAGTTATTGAAGCATCGGTCCCTTCTTTGATAAAGTTTCAGTGAAATGGGAGATTATAGCTGGCATGCCTGTAAGAGAAAGAGAGAGCACACATTGGGGACCGGCCTTTTCTAGGATCCCGGATCATTTGTGAAGTGGACATACGGTGTTTTTAGAGACTGTCTTAGTATATCCAGCATCCTGTTATGCATTTCGGCTTTTCTGTTATGGTCTTCAGAGGTTCCTACCTGTATCAACTTTTAAAAGTTTTTCTCATTTTGAATAAGCAATTTGTTTATGATTGTAATAATAAGTAAACATGGGAAACTGATTTATTTTTGTTCTTCATTGTAATTATATACAGTGTGGTTGCTATTTGATTATTTAGGATGGCACTGAAAACAGACAAATCAACAGCAAGAGAAACAAAACCATCTGTACCACAAGGATTTTTAATTCCTCTTTTCAAAAGAGCCATGCTGGAGTGGGTCAGGATTTTGCAAGGATATCCAGAGCACCATTCTGAACGGTTTTAGTGCCTTGGAAATAACAACTGCTGACATATAAGAACAGCATTTTTATTATTTTTATCTAGAAAAACATCAAATGCTGCCTCCTCAGAGACTTCCTTGAAGTGGCTCACAGTGTAAAAACAGTACAATAAAAACAATGGGTTGGATCCAGCAATAGATTTCCATGAATAGATTCTTTTTTTCTGAATCTATCCTTCCACTGCAAATTTACTCCTCATGCTTTTCCTTGGGGGGGTGTCCCTGTTCCCCTGGGGCAGTGTTTTGGGGAGCCCATTGGGCTGTAGCAAGATGGGGGAAGGTGAGAAAGTCCCATTCCGCTGATGGAAGTGCCTTCCACTGGATCCAACCCAATAACCTAAGAATTGTCATTATTAAAACCATCAAAAACATGCCAGGCTATATTTATAAACATGCCAGGTAATATATAAACATGCCAGGCCACATACAACAAAATTCAGCAGCCTAAAATGATATTCATAAACGAGTCCCAAGGCTAGTAACAGAACATAAAAAACAGCTTCAAAAGATGGAACCCCTTGGCAAAAAGACTGGATAAAAGAAAACGTTTTGGCATGGCACCTAAAGGAATGTAAGGCAGGTGGCACGATGTGAGCATCAAGGGGAAGAGGGCCTTCCAGAGGTGAGGGGCCACCACTGAAAAAGCCCTTTCTGTGCTTACCACCTGTCTCACCTCAGCAGGCGGGAGCGCAGGGCTTGGGGGAAAATAGCTTATTTGGCAGGCTGGAAAGTACAGGAGGAGGTGGTCTTTCCAGCCCCAAGCCATTTAAGGCCTTAGCACTTTGAATTATACCCAGAAACAGGTGGGCAGCCATTCTTCAAACTATGGCTCCCCCCCGCCCATAGCAGTATCTATAGCAGCTGAATTGGGTGGAGGCTTTCTTTCTCAGTCTGTCTAGATCAGCGGTTCTCAACCTGTGGGTCGCGACCAATGTTCCCTCTAAGCTGTGGAGTCTTGTGAGCAAAACGTCTACTTTGTGAGCTACCAGCATTAAAGTTGTGAGCAGGCGATTTGGCTGCTGCATAAATTAGTTGGCTCTGGAGCCATTCTTCCTGAGCTAAGACAAAAATGTGTGAGCCGGAGGCTAAAACACTGTGAGCTAGCTCACACTAACTCAGCTTAGAGGGAACACTGGTCGCGACCCCTTTGGGGGTCGAACGACCCTTTCACAGGGGTCACCTAAGACCATAGGAAAACACACATTTTCGATGGTCTTATGATAGCAACAAAAATAATTTTATGGTTGGGGGTCATCACAACATGAGGAACTGTATTAAAGGGTCGTGGCATTAGGAAGGTTGAGAACCACTGGTCTAGGTGATCTGTAAGCAGTGCAGTCAGGTGAGTAGAAAAGGCTGAACCAAGAATTGCTTCAGAGGGAGAACAATCATTCTGCCCATTTGATCTAGGCTAGTTGACGGGGTAGCAAGTTACTGTTGCCCGAGGTGAGAAGAGGAAATTACTACAGGATGGCTGTCACTTGTGAGGTAAATGGTGCACAGAGGGAGGAGGGGGGGGGCTAACAGTTCCGTCCCTGTCCCTGCCCTAGTCTGGGCAGAATCCAAAAAAGGTTGTGGCTCTGGGGCAAGTGATTCCCAAGTAGCCATGCCTTAGCATCGCTAGTCAAAGGATCTCATGCAGAAGAAGCAGGGAGAAGGCCGTCAGAGGCGATGGGTGGTCGTCCCGACTCATCGTAAGGCTGAGTGTTTGGAAAGAAAGAGAGACTGTAATAGAAATAGCTCTTTCACAGAGCCGGTCCTCTGAGATGGGAAAGTCTGCCTGTCTGGCTCTGTCCAACAAGCGGTAGTTGTTGAGAAGAGAGAACCTGCTCGACTCCTGCATCAGGATGTAATCTACTTACGTTGCCCTTCCTCTCTTCCCTTCCCGCCCTTTCTGTGTCTAGGCTTCCACCCCGACTCCTCATCCAAGCCATCGAGCTACCCTCTGGCTCCCTTCGCCTCAGGGCCCGGCTCCTGCCTGCCTTTCGGGTGTCCGGCAGCCACTGCTCCGCTCCTTGGCTGCTGTGGAACGCCGGGCTTCTCACTGGCCAACGCACAGCAGGAGCTGCAGATGCTGCAGAAGCAGCTGGGAGAAAGTGAGCGCTTTGGCCTTGGTGTTGCTCCCCCTACACATCCCCAGACCCTTTGGCATGGAGCTTTGCATGGCTTAAGGAACAGTGTCTTTGCCCTTGCGCAGACCTAATACATGAGCTGCATCCCAGGACAGCATTGATGTCTTCAGAAGCTGGGCTATGCACAAGCTAAGGAAGCTAGGTCCTAGTTTATAGGTAAAGGTAAAGGTTTCCCTGGCACGAAAGCCAGTCGCATCCGACTCTAGGGGGCAGTGCTCATCTCCGTTTCCAAGCTGAAGAGCCAGTGCTGTCCAAAGAAATTTCCGTGGTCATGTGGCCAGCATGACTAAATGCAGAGGCTCATGGAATGCTGTTACCTTCCCACCAAAGCAGTAACTATATATCTACTGGCAATTTCTTGCTTTCGAACTGCTAGGTTGGCAGGAGCTGGGGCCAGAGACGGGAGCTCACTCCGTCATGCGGCACTAGGGTCTTGAATTGCTGAACTACCGACCTTCCAGTCTGCAACTCAGCGTCTTAACCTCTGAGCCTTATAAGGCTGGGGCCTTATAAGGGGTCTCTAAAATAATAGCCTAATTTTGTCGGATCTCAGAAGCTAAGCAGGGTCAGCCTTGGTAAGTATTTGGATGGGAGACCATCATGGGATGCCAGGGTCATGATGCAGAGGCAAGAAATGGAAAAACCACCTCTGAACATCTCTTGCCTTGAAAACCCCATGAGAGGTCACTATGTCAGCTGTGACTTGATGGGGAAAAAGCAGGGGAAAAGTGTCTGTGGGGGTTGATAATGCATTGGGGCCTCTAAAATTTGACATAATTTAGGGCCTCAGTGTGTCTTAATCTGGCCCTAAAACAAAGTGTCAGTCCAGTGGCACCTTTAAGGCCAACAAAGTTTTATTCTGGGCATAAGCTTTCATGTGCACGCAGGTTTCTTCAGATACATAGAAACAGAAGTCACCAACCATTACATATAGGTAGAGGGCAGGGAAGGGTATTGCCAGGAAGGGCTAATTAGAATCAAGATGTGTAAGTAACTGAGCAGTAAATATAGCTAAAACTGGATGGAGGCAATTGATAAGACCTATGAGTAGCAGCAAATTAGCATATAGCATCATTAAAGAGTTTACAAACAGATGCAAGAACTGAATGACATTAGAATGCGTATAGATCCAGGTGGGCATGTGTAGTGAGATAAGAAGTCATTATCTCTGTTAAGCCCTGGGGGTTCCATTGTCCTGAGTGCTATAATAACTTGTAACTCAGCAATCTCCTGTTCTAATCTGTTTTTGAAATTCCTTTGCAATAAAACAGTTACTTTGAGGTTCCCCTGGGAGGTTGAAATGTTCTCCTACAAGTTTCTCAGTTTTGTGATTTTTGATGTCAGATTTGTGTCCATTTATCCTTTAGTGCAGGGTTTGGCCTGTTTGCCCGAGGAGAACCGAAGGGCATTGTTGGCATTTAATGGCATATACAGTGTTAGAAGATGAGCAAGTGAATGAGCCTGAGATGGGTAGTTGATGTTGTTAGGTCCAGAGACTGTGTTGTCTGGGTGCATATGGCAGCAAAGTTGGGTTTATTGCAAGCTCTGGTACCAGTGTCCATGTTCAGGTTAGATGTTGTATTATTGTGGTTGAGGAGTCGTTTCAGATTTAGGGGGGCTGTCTGTGCGATAGAAAAGGTTTGCCCCCTAATACTTCTGAAAGAGAACTGTCATTACCTAGTAGATTTTTATCTACCCTCCCCACCCTCAACCTGACTTCTGTTTCAGTATATCTGAGGAAGTGTGCACACACACAAAAGCTTATACCCGGGCAGAGTTAAACTTTGTTGGTCTTAAAGCTGCCACTGGACTCAAACTTTGTTCTGCTGCTTCAGACCAACATGGCTACCCGCCCGAATTAATCTGGTCCTGGTCATTGCATTTGTGACTGACCTTTTGAAGACTCAAAAAAAACAAGGCGGCTGGCAGGAAGCCACATGTCATGAAGGGCAGGAGCCTCGGAACAGACGGCACTTGTGGCACTTTTCGCATTCAGCTTTCTCTCAGCAGTGGCTCCCTGCTTTTTGAGTGGGGGGTTGCCAACACTAGTTTCATAAATTCCTGGAGATCTGGGGACGGTGCTTTGGGAGGGCAGAGTTTGTGGAAGAGGAAGTGATGTCATAGAGACCACCCTCTGAAGTTGCCATTTCCTGCAGGGGAACTGATCTTAGTAGTTTGGGGATCAGTTGTAATTCCAGGAGGAGGAGAGGAGATTGGATTTATACCCCGCCCTTCACTACCCAAAGGTGTCTCAGAGCGGCTTACAAACTCCTTTCCCTTCCCCTCCCCACAACAGACACCCTGTGAGGTGGGTGGGGCTGAGAGAGCTCTGACACAAACTGCTCTTTTTCAAGGACAGCTGTGCCAGAGCTTGCGACTGACCCAAGGTCACATCAGCAGGTGCAAGTGGAGGAGTGGGGAATCAAACCCGGTTCTCCCAGATTAGAGTCCGCGCACTTCACCACCACACCAGAGAACTCCAGACACCACCTAAGATCGGCAGCCCTGTTGTGGGCTGGATTAAGTTGGTTGATTGGGGAGCTGGAAAGTCAGGGGCCCCATAGCACAGCTGGGGGGTTTGGGCCAGAGTGCCTTGGGTTCCGTGGCCACATCGTTCAGAATTGAAATGCCTGTTGACTATCTTGGCGACATCGGCAACACATTCCTGCAGTTTGCCTCAGTATAAAGAACGGGGAGGATTCAGGGAGGGCAGATTCATGTATTAAGTACTGAGAATCATGTAGGCTGAATCCCTAGACACTGGGCGATTCTGCATCTGGCATTCGCTCCGCATTTTCTCAACACCGAGAAACGGGTGCAGCTCGAAACCACATTCAAATACGCTGGAGCCAACGCCATACTGACTGCGAAGTCACCCCCCCCGAACGGCCATAAATCTATGCAGAGGTAGGGTTGCCAAGTGTCACTTATCTCTTCCGCGAGGGAGTCCCAGGTGGCTCCCGGAGCACGTGTGCATGCGCAAAGCACGCATGCACCGCATGCACGTGTTTTCCCTTGTATGGCCGTGGCCCCGCCCCCAGCGTGCCTAAGAGACTAAGTTCCCCCCGGGGCCCGATCCAGCAGCACCGGGGAACGGGCCTCTGTGGCTGGGGTTTCCCCGCCCCCCGGGGGGACTTAGGATCCCTATGCAGAAGGTACCATAAAACCCAATGATCAAAGAAAGCGGCATGCAGTGTCGGGGGTACCATAAAATCTGATGATCAAAGGAAGTGACAGCAGCATGCAATGCAGAGGGGAACTTCTGTTCCAAGGTGGGCTTGGTAAAACAACGGAGGGAAAAGCCAATGCAGAATCGCCCCCTGAGAGGGGGGTGTTGGAAGTGAAGGACCGTGTGCTGCCTCTTAGCCTCAGACTTCAGAGGGGGACTATAGAGAGTCAGAGAGATAGATTGGTCAGGGCCGCGAGCATCCTGCCTTTCTACTGCTCTGATGCTATCCCTTTGATGAGACCTGCTTGGCTCTCTGCTGCCTTGCTTAGAGAGCCAGTCGCGGTGCCTATCAGTGTTGGTCAAGCATAATTGCTTGAAGGGTTGTGGGTTGTTGTTTTGTGGACTCGACTCCAAGCTTGCCCTTCATGGATGGAATGGATTCTATCTCCAGTTCCCTGTAGGTCCCATTCCCTCCCCTTGGGCACTGAAAGGGGACAAGCAGTAACAACACCTTGCCTTCATTCCTTTCCAGAACTCTTTGTGGATGGGTTGATGGCTAAATGCATGCCTGCTTATAAGACTGGCTTTTTAATGTTCTTGATTGTATATGTGGGTCCTTCCTTCACAACCGCTTGGGGAAATTGGTTAGCAGCTGCTTCAAGGGCACCCAGTAAGCTTTGTGTTCTGGAGAGGGATTTGAACCTGAGTCGCCCTACTCACTGCGCCCATTGCACCGCCTGGGTTCACTGAGGCCCATTCTGCATCTAGCATTCGCCTCATTGTTTTACTAAACCCACACTGGAACAGAAAAAGATGTGGCTCAAAACCACATTCAAATACCCCAGGCCAGCACCATACTGATTGCAGAGTCATCACTGAACAGCCATAAAATGGCCATAAATCTATGCAGACAGTACCATGAAACCGAGAGGTCAAAGGAAGTGAAGCTGGCATGCAATGTAGAGGGGAATCTCTGTTCCAATGTGGGTTTCTTAAAACAGTGGAGAAAATGCTAGATGCAGAATGGGCCCCTCTCCTATGGTTTCTTCACCAGCTCATGACATCCTGTAGCGTGTGTCTTGTAATCGTGGTCAGCTGTCCTCTGTCAGGGCTATAGCTTTGCGCAAGCCCAGTCCTGCGAGATTCAGATGAGGAAGGCCAACTAGTGTTACCGTAACAAATGGCTGAGCTGGCTGCAGGCACGGCACGGTGAAATTGGTCTTCCTGGTTCTGCACAGCCGGGAGAGAGCCGGTTTGGTGCAGTGGTTAAAAGCGGTGGACTCTAATCTGGAGAACCAGGTTTGATTCCCCGCTCCACCACATAAAGCGAGCTGGGTGACCTTGGGCCAGTCACAGTTCTTTCACAGCTCTCTCAGCCTCTAAAAGAAGAAGAAGAGGTTGGATTTATACCCCACCCTTCACTCGGAGTCTCAGAGTAGCTTACAGTCTCCTTTCCCTTCCCCTCCCCACAACAGACACCCTGTGAGGTAGGTGGGGCTGAGAGAGCTCTGAGACAACTGTTCTTGAGAGAACAGCTCTGAGAGAACTGTGACTGACCCAAGGTCACACCAGCAGCTGCATGTGGAGGAGTGGGGAATCAAACCTGGTTCTCCCAGATTAGAGTCCACGCTCTTAACCACTACACCAAACAAGTGTAGCTCACCACGCACAATGCTAAGAGCTAGAACGTCTGGCCACCAGACCATCCTAGGATCTCCTGGCTGTTCTACACTCAATGCCATATGATAATTATTAATTGCATAGCCGGGACTCCAAGTCAGTCCTTCTTCACTTTCCTCCTGCCCAGGGACCATCGTTTCCAAAGGGTTGTTGTGAGGACAGAATGGAGGAGAGGAGAATGACATAAGCCAGTTTGGGTCCCTATTGGGGGGGAGAAAGGCATGAATGAAATAAGTAACTCAATCAGTCAACTGTTACTTTCTGACAATGCCTCTCATCAGCACAACTGTGGATCTAAGGAAGGGCTGGCTTGATCTTCTCACTGAAATCAAGGAGGAGACGTGTTTTATTTTATTTTATTTAAATTTACTTAGGGCAGGAAGAGAATGCCTCCCTGTAATAGTGCCCCTTAGTAAGGATGTGGGCTGGTTTCTGGCCATTGGACACACACGTGCCTTGGGGCAAGGGGGAGATAGCTTTTGCTATGTGGGAGAGACCCCACAGCAGTCCTTTCGCCCTTCTTCTGAGGTGACCTATGTGACACAGGAAGTGGTGGTGGCTACAAGCATGGACGGCTTCAAAAGGGAATTAGATAGGCATATGGAGCAGAGGTCCATCGGTGGCTATTAGCCACAAGGTATGGATAGGGACTCTGGGGCAAGGAATGCTCTGTCATCTTGGTGCTTGGGGGGGGGGTCAGTGGTGGTGGGGCTTCTGGTGTCCTGGCCCCACTGGTGGACCTCCTGATGGCACTGGTATTTCTGGCCACTCTGTGATACAGAGTGTTGGACTGGATGGGCTTTTGGCCTGATCCAACATTGGCATCTCTTATGTTCTTATGTTCTTATGACAGTTGCTGAGGAGGTGGGCCTCCTCCTATCGAAGTTCAGGAGAGCTCCTGTTCTACTAGAGTAAGTCTTCCTAAGGTCTTGAGCACCACATCCAGTCTGGTTATCACTGACTTGTATCCCCTCTGCCTAGGTATATCAGCCTCTGCACTGTCGCCAGCAAAACCGGAGTTGCCGACGGGTCTCTTCGCTATGGGTAGCCCTGCCTACGGCTCCAAGCACTGCCCCCAGGCGGACCATTGCGTTCCTCGGTCGCTTCATGTGCAGAACTCTGCCAACTGGAACAAGAATGCTGGGGAGGCCCCGGGGGAGAGCCGGGACACGAGGAACACGCCACACCTCAGAGAGCCTCAGAGGGGACTTGTCTGTGGAAGTTTGCCATCCTGCTCCTCAGCATGTCTAGCAGGCCCGAGGCCTTCAGGTAACACCTGTGGTTCTCCCCGCTTTTGAGAACGAAGGGGAAATGCCCTGACCTGGATATCCCAGGCAAACCCAATCTCGTCAGATCTCGTAAGCTAAGCAGGGCTGACCCTGGCAAGGACTTGGAAAGGAGTCCTCCAAGGAATACCAGGGCTGGGTCGCAGAGGCAGGCAATAGTAAGCATCCAAGCCACACGAGAGGGTCGCCAGAAGTCAACCATGAATGAAGGGGGGAATGTTTCTGCAAAGTAGATGCTGGCCAATTGAATCTTGCAATCGGTTCTTTGAGTACCAGTGATTGGTTCCAGGTCACCTCACCTCTTCTGTTCAGGTGATTGACATTCAGTTGACAAAATTGCTCCTCCCTGGGGTTCAGCCACCACCCCATACTTAGGGTTGCCAGATTTGGTTTGGGAAATGCCTGGAGGTTTTTGAGGACGGAGCCTGAGGAGGGTGGTGTTTGGGGAGGAGAGGAATTCCAGTGGGGCACAATGCCATAGAGTCCACCTTCCACAGGGGCCATTTCCCCCAGGGGAACTGACCTCTGTCACTTGGAGATCAGCTGTTATCCCAGGAGAGCTTCAGCCATCACCTGGAGGTTTGGGAACTCTATCCATATTGCAGTCCCCTGATCTGAATCCCTTCCCCATGGCTGCAATTGGTCCTTAAAATGCTGAGTAGATGTGTTCATAGTTTTCCCAGTATCTAAGAACATCTAAGAAAATGGAGCTGCGGTGGCTCAAGGGGTTAAGACGCTGAACTGCAGGCTGTCGAAGGTCGGTAGTTCAGCAGTTCGAGACCCGAGTGTGCCGCATGGTTCTCCCCGCTTTTGAGAACGAAGGGGAAATGCCCTGACCTGGATATCCCAGGCAAACCCAATCTCGTCAGATCTCGTAAGCTAAGCAGGGCTGACCCTGGCAAGGACTTGGAAAGGAGTCCTCCAAGGAATACCAGGGCTGGGTCGCAGAGGCAGGCAATAGTAAGCATCCAAGCCACACGAGAGGGTCGCCAGAAGTCAACCATGAATGAAGGGGGGAATGTTTCTGCAAAGTAGATGCTGGCCAATTGAATCTTGCAATCGGTTCTTTGAGTACCAGTGATTGGTTCCAGGTCACCTCACCTCTTCTGTTCAGGTGATTGACATTCAGTTGACAAAATTGCTCCTCCCTGGGGTTCAGCCACCACCCCATACTTAGGGCTGCCAGATTTGGTTTGGGAAATGCCTGGAGATTTTTGAGGACGGAGCCTGAGGAGGGCGGTGTTTGGGGAGGAGAGGAATTCCAGTGGGGCACAATGCCATAGAGTCCACGTTCCACAGGGGCCATATAAGTCAGCTGTGACTCGACGGCACTTTTCCACCTCCACCAAGAACGTAAGAAGAGCCCTGCCTGGATCAGTGGCCCATCTAGCCCAGCATCCTGTTCCCTGGTGGGGGGTGGATCAAACACTGAAACAAAACTGTTACAGAAACTATTTTCCGTGTTCCTTCAGTGGCCACTGCAAATGGAGCGGCATTAGCAACGGCACCAGAATGTCCTTATGATAGTTTCCCCCACAGTTCCCTTGCCCCAGCCCACCAAGGGTATTTTTTTTTAAGGGAACTGACATCTTACTACCGCTACCACTTAATGGTTTTTTTAAGTCCAAAAACCCTTCTGGTGGCATGGGGTGGTGGGAAATGGGGGCAGCAGTATGGGACCAAGGCACATATGGACAAGACCTGCAAAAATGAACTCTTCCCTGTGCACACAGAGCCCAAAGACCACAATTGTTCCCGGAAGATTGTACCAAACCAGGTTTGGGAAAGACGGCTGCAAATAGGGCTGCCAAGTGGGGGCGGGGAAACCCCCGCTTTGGAGGCCCGATTTCTGCCGCCGCGGAATCGGATGCCGGGGGGACTCCGCCCCTCGAAGAGCAGGGTGGCTGTGTCACCAGAGGTGACGCAACCACGTCGCCCACGTTGGGGGTGTGGCCCGGATCACCAGAGGGAAAACTCTATGGTTTTCCCCGATGATCGGGGCCACGCCCCCAACGTGGGCAACGTCGCACGTCACTTCCGTTGACGTGCTGGCTGCGCGTGCGCCCGGAGCCGGCTCCCGGAGCTGTCGGAGCCTCCCCCGCCGGTGAGTTTGCGGGACTTGGCAACCCTAGCTGCAAAGCAGGGGGTGAAAGGCAGAGAAGGGGATAATGAAAGGACAATATCATGTGAATATTCCATGAAACCCCTCTGTGGTTCAGACAAAAAAACTGGAGCAAAAACCTCCGTGTAGAAGCAGCCTGAGTTCTCAGATTCCATCTCCGAAACCCAGTTTTGTACTTTCTGGAATGGCATCAGTCAGGTCTAGCGGGGGACCATTCCAGTCTTGTGCTTGGAAAGTCCAGTCTCTGGCTCTCAGTTTGCATACAAACTATGATCATGCTAGCTCATGCGTGCCCCTATAGCCCGCTCTGTGCCATGGATTCTCGTGGTGAGGCCAGGCCTCTCGGACTTTCTTTGCCATGATTTTGAGTTCCCTTTCTCTTGTATTTGCATGTTCCCTCATTGGCTGGACATAGATGCCAGTTTGCTACAAGAACATCTGGTTGAGATCCAGATCCTGGGCCAGCGCTTGGCAGAGTCCATTTTCAACAACAATCGCCTGCGGGAGCAGCTGGAAGCAAGTCTGGTGTCCATGGCAAAGAGCAACGGTAAGGGGAAAGCCATCCTCAGCCATTCAGGGAAAGGACGGGTGTAGGGTTGCCAACCTCTAGGTGGTGACTAGAAATCTCCCATTTATGACCACTGATCTCCAGGTGACAGAGATCAGTTCACCCGTAGAAAATGGTCGATTTGGAAGGTGGACTCTATGACATTCTACCCCACTGAAGTCCCTGCCCTCCTCAGGCTCCACCCCCCCCCCAAATATTCAGGTATTTCCCAACCCGGAGCTGGCAACCCTGGAAGGATGACAGCTGAACCTCAAGGGCGTTATCTACATGTCTTGATCTCGGGCTCCTAAGAGGACATCCTTGTCCATTCAGTGGAGTCCTGATTTTTCTCTTTCAGTTATTAGAATGGTGTCTGTGCCTATCCAAACAAAAATGCTTATTAAAAAAAGGTGAGGGGTGAGGGAGAGAAAACTGTGGCTAATTATCACCTGAGAGCAGTTGAGCCAGCCACCGGCATGCAGCAATTAGAATGTTATTGACTAGGACTAGGTAGACCCAGGTTTCGCTCCCCATGGATTTCATCGGGGAGGCCAGTCCTTCCTTCAGCCTAACCTACCCCACAAGCAGTGCTCCCTCCAAGCTAAGTTAATGTGAGCTAGCTCACAGGTTTTTAGCCTCTGGCTCACACACTTTTGTCTTAGCGCAGGGAGGATGGCTCCAGAGCAAACTGATCTATGCAGCAGCCAAATCGCTCACTCACAACTTTAATGCCAGTAGCTCACAAAGTAGAATTTTTGCTCACAAGACTCCACAGCTTAGAGGGAGCATTGCCCACAAGGTTGGTATGAGAATAAAATTGAGGACGGGGGAATGGTGGAAGCCACTGTGAGCTCCACGGAGAAGAGGGTAGAATAAAAACAGAACGTGGTAAGGCAGATCTGGTTAATGGGCAGAGATGACAAGTCATTCAAGTACAAAAGAGGCAGGAAGATCCTTTCAGCAGCCTTAACTGGAAAAGACTGCTAAGTGTGTGAAACCTGAGGAATTTTACATCTCAGTAAACAGGAGGAGAGTAGATTTGGGCCTTGAGAGAAAAAGGAATAGGATTGTCTTTGCCCAACAAGAGGGCAGTTGGTAAAGGCTGCTATTCTTTCTTCTACAAGAACTATATAGAATTTTATATAGTCATTGAGCTCAACCACCTGAACAGCCAGGAAAGAAGAAGAGCAGGTTTTTATATCCCACTTTACTCTACCTTAAGGTGTCTCAACGCGGCTTACACTCACATTCCCTTCCTCTCCCCACAACAGACACCTTGGGAGGTAGGTGGGACTGAGGGAGTTCGGCGACTGGCCCAAGGTCACCCAGCAGGCTTCATGTGGAGGAGGAGTGGGGAATCAAACCCAGTTCTCCAGATTAGAGTTTGCTGCCAGTTTGGTGTAGTGGTTAAG